AGTAAACATTACAATGCTTTCATACACAGAATATCAATTTTTTTTATTAAAGCTTAAGGTTTGTAAAGCAGGGTTTTTCTTGTGCCTTTTTTTTATGTAAAGTAGTATTGTTTTGTTATGCTCTTTTCTTAAGATATTAATGAAAATGCTGTATAAACTTATGAAATACATTTTTTACTTGGAAGATCAAGATCACGATCTCCTGTTGAACGTAACAAAGAAAGAGACAGAAAAGACTATTCTAGGGATAGAGGAGGTGATAGACGTCAGCAAAGACTGTCTGGCTTCAGACGTGTATATGTAGCTAACATTCCTTTTGAATCTAAATGGACAGACATTAAAGATCTGTTTAGAGAGCAAGGTAAGATGTGAATTGTTACAAATAATAGTTTAATCTAAAATACTTGTATACATACATGAGATAAAAGGAGATATTAATTATAATTTATTTTGCAATAGAACTAATTAGTGGCCTCAGTTTAATATTTATGTGCATAGTGAAATGAAGTTTTGATAAAGTCCTTTTCATAGAATAAGTTAAGAAAATTTAATTTGACCAAAGATAAAAAATGTTCAATTTGACTGGACATTAGTTATATCCACAATATGATCAGTATCCACATTTAGGGGTGTGCAGACTTTCCTTAAGCCTTACCTATGCATTGCTGAATAAGTACCATTGAAAGTATTGTGACACATGTCTGTTTGTAATATAGAAAAGTAACAGATTATGTATTGTGTACAGATAGACATAAAAGAGTAGGAAGTCTAAATTAACAAATTTTTAAGAAGTTTATGCTTCTATATAGTATATAACTTTGGCCTCAAATCCCACTCGTATATTAATAGAAGGTGACTTATCCTTCCATTTGCCTGATAGTCCATAATTACAAAATATAGGAAGAGTACTTTCCTAAGTATCATATCCCTGTTTTTTCAACAGCTGAGGGCACATGAACTTGTTTTGTAACAGCTCTGTACTAATTTAAACATGCCACTCCCTTGTATTTTCTCTGATTTAGTTTGTCCTTTCATGGATTCTTTATGTAACTTTATGTGGAAGGAAAAGTCAAAACATTAAGTTATTGGATTTCTGTGTATGGTGCATATCATGCTTATGTATATGTCATGCTAAGCGACAACAATAACTTGTGGTTGTGTAGGCAGAAAAGGTAAATATTATAAATAGAACCCCTCTAGCAAATAATTTTTATTCTGGATTTGTCAAACATGTTTAGAAACTGCTGCAAAAATAAGACCAGCATACTGAAAAGAAGTGTTTTCCCAATAACACAGCCAGACAGCAGACATTCAAAAAAATAAAGCATCTGTCTTTGAATATATTAGTGTTTAAAAAAACAACAAGATTTGTTGCATCTTTTCAATTATTTTACGACCTCCTTTGGAGCCTCCTGTAATCAACAGTTTGAAAACACCTGATTTGTACAATATATTTTATGGGAGATACCGATAATGGATACAGAAAATGTCAACTGCTTGCCGCTTTTAAGTGACAATAGTAGTTTTTGATGTTTCCAACATTGTACCATGGTATTTTTAGTTTTGTTTGTGTTGCTCTATCTTTTATGTGGCATAGTGTTGGTTGTATATATATATATTATTGGTAATTTCATTGATAGATACAAAAATATCAAACATTTTCTATTTTTAAATTGAAGTATTTCAATTATTTTTACAATATACTGGTATTATAAGGTAATTTGCACATGTGTGAGTGTGTAAGCATTATTTTCAAAATTTTTCAAGTATCATTATCCTATGTAAAAATGTTGCATTATGACACTGGTAAATTTGAAAATGTTCAATGATTATTATTTGTTGCATCTATTTAAAAACTGTCATAGTTCTTTCAAAAATATTTGCTATAGTACTAGAAAGTATTCTACCAATGAGAATTTAATCTGAACATGAAGATAAAGTGAAATTACTTGATGTAATGGGTTTTTATTTTAAGTTATGTAGGAATTGCTTAAAATTTTATCTTTACATGTAATTCTTGAATTTTGATTTACTTGAATAGTTGGAGATGTTTCATATGTGGAGTTATTCAATGATGAAAATGGCAAATTTAGAGGATGTGGGTAAGTATTGTGCTAAATATGAATGTCAAAAACAACAACAACAAGAAAAACAGTCACTTGTCATTTAATAGTGAGCTAAAACAGTTTACTCATTTAATACAGGGGATTGTAGTTGGATGGAAACCTAAATCCAATTATTGATTAAGTTTCTGGTTTAGAAGGATCAGTGATATGTGCTTAAAAGAAGTTAAGACCTTTATATTTGTATGTTTTGTTGCTGAGAGGTTGCTTTGTATGGTGAGAACAGATTTTCACCAACAAATGATATTTTGATATATTGTGTCTGTGGAAATAAAGATTGAAATTGTTGTGCCAAAAATTTTCATGCTATAATCTTTAATTTTTTACACTGCATGAATTTTGATTAATCTTTAGATTTTTTTTTACCTTGCCCATTTGAAAAATTATATTGTAGTCAAAACAAGAAGGAATCCTCAATGGCCATGTCACTTGAAATTCTTTTAGGTAGGATTAGAGTAAATTAATCTATGAGGCTTTTTTTTTTCTTTTTATTAGCTATATTTTTGTGCGACAGCAATAGCAAGTGTAGGTTGCATGTATACTTTATTCGATTTTATTATTCATCAGGACTTTTACCAGCCTACCCTCAAATTGAAATTATTTAATGGAGGATTAGCATAAATAAATCTATGAGACCTTGGGCATGGTCATATACATCAGTTGATAGGTTTGACCTCCTGAGTCCAAAACTGTAATTAGATTTCAAAGTGGTCAAGAGATGATGGAGCTATGAGCTAAAAGTTAGTACTTATACACTCATTTAACTCTTTCAGCGCGGGCTCAGCCCATGCGACCGACCTTGTAACGCTTTGTACTTGCTGTAGTTCTTATGCTATAACTTTTATATTAATAAATATCTTAGCGAAATTTTGCAGATTATCAGTAAACATTTCAAGGCTTTCGTGCACAAAATATCAAATTTTTTATCAAGTTTTATGATTTTCTAAGTAATGTTTTTTTCATGCCTTTTTTCTTTTGGAATGTGACTATCCAATATGAACGTAATTTTGATTTTAAGATTAAAAATACTTTTATGCATCAGAAAATTTTCAAATTTCACATGCGAAATCTTTAACTTCCAGATAATTATCAAACTTTTGTTAAGAAAAAGACTGTTTTATCTGTTTTTTCACTATCAGATCTCTGTATGGGTTCAGTCGATTTGACTGACCTTGTAACCACCATAAAAATATAGGAAATGAATATAAGTTATGCTGTTTTTCATTCTAGAATGACTAGAAATTATAACTCAAACACAAATGTTTAGTCCAAATAGCATAACATTATACATTTATATTTATTTATTATTTTTATTATATTGATCTTCCAGTTGTGCCTAGCTAACAATACAAAAGTTGCATTGACAAGGCACATGTGCACTCATGTTACCATATCTAAGAATAAAAAATTGGCCTTTACAAAGTGATCTGTTTTGGCTGTATTTTAGTGGACTAGTATTTTGTAAAATACAGTCACATTTCAATTATTATACATTATTACTATTTACAAATATGTTCTTAAACTTATTTTTCTTATAACATAAAACAATAAATAAAGAAGTATAGTAAACAATTAGCTTTTCTAGTTACGCTCTTTGTACTCGTTCACTGCTTGCCACAAGTTGCTCAGCCTTATCAAATTTCACACTTGGAGGATGTGAAAATAAATACTTTTTTTAGGTTTTTATATATACATTTGAAATAACCAAAAAAATCATAAATTACTATATTTTATATAAATTACCACAGAATTCCACTATAATTTATCAAGCTTAGTAACTAAGATGTGTTTGAGCTCACTAAAGACTTAAAATCTTGTATCAAAAGCATGAGATTGACACCCTAATACTTCAAAGTGGCTGAGAAAGCCACTAGGGGGATATTCTGAGCTTTCAATTGGTTATTCATGTCATAGACAGAACTATGTGTACATAAAAAAAGTGTTTCCAAAAATGGAAAGAGGTGGGATATCTCAGCAAATAGAAAAGATAGGAGGTTCTTATTTTTATATTCTAACTTGTCAATATTGGTAATTTGAGTTCCTAATTCAACATACCACATGACACACAAAAATCAATGTTTATCTGTGTTTTTTAATATTTACTTTTAAATTAAGAAATCAAGTAATGTTTAGTACTAAAATTTGAATTATAATTTACAGTTTGATACTAAACTTATTGACATAAATTCATGAAATAGTAGTTAAATAAAATTTTGAATGCTAGTCAACAAACATGACATGGCCTTTGACCCATGTCAGTAGGGTTAAGTAATTACTTTTTTTGTCGAAATATGGATGACTAACTTCTTGCAAATAAGTAAATGATTTTTTTATCATTTAATATAAAATCAGAAACATTGCTTTTATCCTTTAAATTTGAACTCCCATTAACCACAAGCAATTCTTCAGTCCATCTTCATGACTAGAATCTTGACTGTAAATACCTGTGCAATAACAGATGAAATAACTTATTGAGTGTTAGGTGCTAGAGATGCGTTAATTGGTGTATTAATATGAAATTTGTGTTGTAATCATTAAACTGCTAACTCTGAAATTTCTGTTTATTAAAAGAAAAATGTTTAGATCCTTCCATGACTGAAATTTGAAAGAGAATTGAGAGATCAAAACCTTTTATCTTAGTTTTCAGTTGTTGTTTCAAAAGTTGGTCTCTTTAGAAGATGTGGAAAAACTTTACCTTTTTTTTTAAAAAAAGCCTTTCTATTTTTAAGTTTACTCAATTAGAAATTTATACTTATTGCCTTCCCTTATCTGATAGAGCTGAAGATGGCAATAGAATTCTTAACACAGAAATTCCTTTGTTTTATGATTTTATCAGTTTTTTCTCTGCTAAAGTAATTAACATTGTTATTGTTGTTTTCTTTTCCAAATGTTATCAGGGCTCAATTTTAAGGAAAAAAGTACATAGAGCCACTAAAGAGATCCAGCTACGACAATATTGATGTACAGAAACCTTAAAAATGATCCAATTACAATAATTTTTGTTTTTATATCTTATTTCCAAAAGGTACAATTAATGTTTGGTTGGCAATTTTGCATCTTCAACTAATTGTTGATGCCTTATTTTCCAGGAAGTTTCATTACATTGGAAAAATTAAGCTCAAACTGTGCTAATGTTACATAGTATCTTAAGGGAACAAACACTCAATAACCTATAAAACTTTTAAACAGAACAGCGATCTTGGCCTATCAAATTCAATGTTTTCATTCTAACACGCTTGGCCTGCCCTCCAAATACATTAAAGCACACCCTCTAGTAAGACTTGACTTGTGTTGGAACTCTCGCACATACTACTATACTGTAATATATACACAATGCCCGAGTGCAGCACATGTACACACACATTGCTGATATGTATTGTTGTTCTGTTTCATACTTATTGAAACTTTGCATGAAAGTTTGTTCACAGTTATCATTATTTTGCACTGTTTAATTTGTGGATTTTCCTTCTTTTCTCATGGTAGCAAGGCCTTCCGTATTTCCTAGACTCAATTACTTGTGTCTGTTAACCTTAGGCCTGTATGTGCGTAATCGAAAGGGGATCACTATTTCAACTGTGATTCTTAACGATGAAAATTCTGAGTTTGATTTTGTGAATTTGATCATTTTAGTTCATAACAAAGGTTTATCTGTAAGAAGTTGAGACAGCCATGTTAGTTTTATTGTCATAAGCATCTATATTAAAAATTAATATCCCCAAATATTCGTATTATTTGTTTTTGTTGCAAATTTCTGGTCGCCCATAAATTTTCCCACAAACATCACCCAATACAATGTGTAGTAATGTAACTAACTGAGCTGTATACACTGTACTGTGCTACCACACAGCCGTTTATAGTCAGTTCAACTTCATACAAAATGTACATGTACCGAGGTGCAGCTTGTCCACATTAGAAAGTTTAGTGACTGAAACAGCATTATTAGCCAATCACAAAAGCGAACTTTTCCTAATGTTTTCAGCCTCTTTTGGTGGATTGTACCAACATTTATCTCGGAAAAATTCTGCACGTGGAACTGAACAAACAGTGTTTTTTGTCTAAAAACTTTTTTTTAATTTCTTTGTGACTAATTTGTATCAATTACCTGCTGTTAAAGATGTATCAACCTGAGAAATAAAACTCAGCCTAGAGTAAAATTTGTCTCCACCTTTCTTTTCTTTTTTGAGTTGTTCATCTTATAATGTGTGTTTGCCTAGCGACTGCTTGGATAGTGTGTTTTATTGGACTTTCCAAAGGAATTTACAAATTTAATGCCATTAGAATTATAAACATGAAAATGATACCCCCCCCCCCCCTGGGTTGTTATTTGATGGTTATGAAATATATTACTTGACTCTACTATTCAGAATCTGTTTTCAGATATGAAACCCATGAAGTATGAAGAAAAATACAGCTGTATGTAAATTGTTCTGTTCATGAGGACTAAGTTAATCTGTTTACATATCTGAATCAATAAGTGAGGCAGAAGATACAGCAATTTCTTCCTGCAAATATGAACGTTCAGCATCATACACTACATCATAACCTCATTTTAGCTGGAATTAAAAAAGAGAATGCCTTTATCTTGGAAATGGTGACACAAAATCTATCTTGCCAATTTCCTAGAAAGGGCTAAATTCATCAGAATCTCATGAGCTTTATCACCAGACAATTTCTGACTTTGGTTTCTTTTTCCCTTTTAGTATAATTCGATTAACTTTTCCACACACTCCCTGGGCATTTCATTTTTCATATTCTCTGGATAGCATGCCCACCCTTCTAACAATGCTTCTGGACAAAGTGTAGTAATTTCACCTCCTACACTGATATCCACTTCAGGATGATTGCAGTGGAACAGAGACAGTGCTTGGCTAATAGCTAGTGATTTAGCAGTTATTCTGACGTGATCTTGTTCATTCAACTCGGAATTTGATGTTGATCAAGTGTAAATAATGGTGCCTTAGGGGATGTACTGACAACCT